AAAACTAATATATTTCGTTGTATTTCTCTCTCTCTCTCTCTCTCTCTCTCTCTCTCTCTCTCTCTCTCTCTCTCTCTCTTTCTTTCTTTCTTTTCTTCTTCTTCTCTATCATCAAGTTCAATAAACTTACTCATTTAACTAACAATCAATTTCAACTGAAATTAATGTTGATTCCTGTTGATAAAGATAATATTAACATGGGATAAAGACATTAAATGTTTTTGTTTATCTTTTGTAACATCTAATTGTATTTATCATCATCATCATCATCATCATTGTAACCTTATTATCAGTCCAATATAATAAAAGGTTTTAATTAACTGAGTCAAATGGATGAAAATCTAATCCTATTGAGTGAGAATAATAATGTTCAATAATATCAATATACTCATTTGCAAATGTATCATTGGAAATTAATTAGTTAATTAATTTCATTTGGGAAACAACTTCGAGATAAATATAAGGTTGACCTTTTTTTTGACTGTCCATTTCCATGATAATGTTGATGGTGAGATTGGAGAAGTGAAATTTGATCAGATTACATGAAAAGGTGATAAAAAATAGGAAAAGGAGAGAGTTTGTAATTATCCATTCAAACTATAAATTGATTTGATCAACTTGCAAATCAATTTCCCTGTTGATTAATTAATTACTTTCTCTTCTTATCATAGTTTGTGTGTTCTCTGTAATATTAATCTCAAACATTATCAACTGGGAACAAACTTTATCCATTAGATTGATATAATTTCTCATGTATTCCTAATCAATGTTTGATTCAATTGAATGTCTTTTGGAAAAAAAAGAGGAAAAAAAAGTCAACAAGTTCTGAGAGATAGTTAAGGTAAAATCTGAGCATTCTAATCATGTAAAGAGAAGGTGAAAGTGATTTCGAAACTGATGACCATCATCAGAATTCACCATCTATTACTTGACCAAGTAAATATTAGATACAATTGGGAGAGAGAAGAAAAAAATTGAAAAGATTCTATCTAATAATCTGGTAAGAGTTGTCAAATCGGTGACAGTTTCGTCCTTAATTCAGAGTAAATCAATTCATCTCATCGTAATCATTATCACCATGTGTGAATATTATCTGCATAGATAAATTCTGCTAACAAACTATCCAATGATTGAATTTCTGGCAATTATAATAATAAAACTTTCTCTCTCTCTCTTACATTATACTGACTTTAGATTGACTTTTTTTCTTGGTCATTGGTGTTTTGTCATGATGAAGTTATGGCTCAGTGAACCTAAACGACAATAGACTCAAGAGGAACAGGAACAGGAAAATGAATCAATAGAATGAACTTTTTTTTCCTTCTTACGAAATATCCAATCTCGTTACACAATTTGACCCAATATCTTGACCAATGTCCAACTTTTCGATTTATTTCAAGTTCTCTCTTCCATCTCCCAGAAGCCCCTTTTCAACCCAAATTTTCTGGTTAAATTTTTACATTTCTAATAGCTCGATATGCATGGAAAAAATTCACTCAACCCAATTGGGAGGATTAATGGACAATAGAAAAATAAATTGACAAGTTTCATGGGCCACTAATTTCATCTGAAGAAATCGTAATGATGGAAAAACATGAAATTGACCAATCACAGATATTAAACCATCTTATCCATACAATGTCTCAATCAAGAAGTCAAAGAAGACCAAACAAGAAAGATAGAGATGAAGATGATGCGGAAGATGAGGAAAGAGATTAAGATGAAAGGATGAAACCAAAGATCAGCTAGAGGAAGAGTAGTTACCACGCCTTGATACTAATATTTAAGGTATCAGTATGAGTAACGATAAGTTGGTTAAGGAAGCTGAAATTGTATTATCACATTTATTATATCAGTTTAAGTTTTTAAAGAAAATGCGGAAAAAATTATATACTGTATATGGTGTATATATTTATGGGCTTAACCAAAAGGGTTTTAGAGGCTTGTACACAACATTTTTCATCTTCATCATTTATTTTTTGTTACTCTACTTATCATCTATCGTTTCATTTAGTTGATAATAGATAAAACTTTAAGCTATATTACTACGGGAATGATCATTTATTGTTTTAACAGTATCATCATTATCATCATGAGTAGTAGATTTAATATTATATCCAGATTAAAGTGATTGTCAAAATAGTTATTAAGGTTAAATTGGATAAGATGATGATAGAAAAAGTTTCTTAAGATTAGAAAGGATTCTCAAAAATTGCAACTTTTTCTTCTTCCAATTCAATCCCTTCAAGTTTTTTTTTCTCATCTCAAGATACTCAAAGTTCTGATATATAGACGATTCTATACTCATTTATATCTTTATTTATCTCATTGAAAAAAAGGGTATGGATGCTGAGAAGCTTAGTAAAGTTATTTCATGATAACTCGTTCAAGGGATCATGAGGTAACATGAAACAGGAGTAAAATCTGGGAGAGAGAGAGAGAGGGTGTAATAGAATTATTTTTAAAATAATAAATGGATGAAGATAATGATGATTACTCTTGATGAGAAGAAAGAAAAATTGATCAGAAAGATGCTTTAAGGGATAGAAAAAGAGAATTCGAATGAGAAAAAAAAAGAATATCGTCCTTTTTTCTGTCTGTTTCTTTCTATTCTAAGGTTACTTTTACTTCATGATTGAAGAAAATGTTACAATTCTTTCAAGAACGATAATCTTATTCACAGCATCCTCCAAAGCCATTACTCTATCTATTATCTTCATCTTATCTTTTTCCCTTCTCCCATGTAAACAAAACTCTTGACAAGTAAATATCACATATATGAATAGCCCTTCAGTGATAATAATACATAGTCTCAAATACAAATACTATACTAAAGTGGGTATTCATTGTATTCAAACAAGAAAAAGTAAAATTGAACAAAATATGAAAACATTATCATGAGGCTAAGTAATGATAGTAAAATGGCAAAAACTTTGGTCCATGATAATAATATGTATGCATCTCAAAAATTTATTATAAACTTGCAATTCAGATTATATTCAAATGTATAGAATTAGTTGAGAATGAATTTCATGGAGAGATGAAAGAAAAAGCTAAAATCTATACAATGGGTTTTAAATAACTCCTTCAAAACCTATTCTCGATATAAAAAATTATCATGAGGTGAATCGTGATACTAGAGTATTAGAATCATCTGTAAAAAAATCATATCGAGTGAACTTTTGATGGAGCTTGAACAATTCTTACTGGAGATAATTTTGGTTGAGGTTTCATCACCATGAACTTATCAATACTAAATTCCTATTTTAGAGCTTTTAATCCAAAGATATTATCGTTAAAAAATGAGTTAGACACAGGGTGATCAAAGTTGATACTCTTTCATGATAAAATTCATCGATCATCATGCGCTAAGTGCTCAACAAATTATCTAATTTTGTGATAACTTTTTATTACAATTTTCTGCATCAACAATTGTATTAACATCTAATGAAATAGTTTCTCATCATTTGCTATTATTTGTTACTTTTATTATCTTATTTGTTTAGAGTCAATTGAAAACCAATGAGAGTCATTATCGTTTTCCTAAATTGGCCTTTAGAGATTATCTAATTATCGTTAATTGAATTAAAATGAATCACAATTCAGTAGTAAAAATAAAACGAAACGATTATACTAAATCACTTTTTGGTTTCTTACTGGTTCCCTCATTATATTCATGAAATAAGTTGAGTAGGTGAAGAGTTTAAATTGAAAAATTCATAAGTTCTTTGAGGTAAACCAAAGATAGAGAGAGAGTCATAATTGATTTGATTCAATTGAAATTCAATCGAAACTCAATTCCAAAGTTATTGACCAAATTTCATTCCCGAAAGTAAAATAAAAACTAATGGACAGAAAAAAAAGAGAGAAACCTTAATGGATGAAACTTTTTTTTCATATCATTTTAGTTTCTTTTCCGAAAAGAAATCATTTATCCCCATGAAAAGTTCATGATAATTATCAGAAAATCTTTTAACCTTAATTGTATTTAAAATCGTTCACCTGATAGGTTACAATTGCTATCATAATATAATGCTAAAGACTGAGAATTACAGAGAGTAGAAAAAATAATAATTCAGAAAAGAAAATTATAATTCTTTTAAACTTTTATTTTTCATGGTGAAATACTCATTACCATGGTATTATCATTCTCAAGTGTTCATTTTTTCCCTCTATCTGGTTCACATTTTTCTTATTACCTTCATTATTGCTGTTAAAGTTCAAACGTTTCTATGAAATCAAAGTATTCATTGAAATTCAAACTTCTAATATTATCCTTAGTTTCATAATTGATATCAAGTTTTCACTTAGAGAATAAAATTTAATCATTTATTTTCATGAGAAAATGAAACAGGTAATCAAGTGAAATTGATTCTTTACTGAATTTACTTCAAACCAAAGAGAATTAGTTATCAAAAAGTAGTTGGAACAGAAAAAAATATCATAACCAAAATTACCCTAAGGGTAAAAGTTCATCATATGTTTTCATTCAAACTGATTACCAAACGTAGCAAATTAAATTCTTGATACAATTTCCAATTTTTTTCATCAACTCAAATCCAATTAATTAACTGAAACAATGATTTATGAATGAATCTCTGAGTAAAATTAAACATATTCAACAACTGAATCAATTCATGATTTAGAGTAAACAATTAATAATACTGTTCATGGTGAGTACTATAAGTTGTAGTTAATTGTGTTACTTTTAATCAATTTTAGATGCATGAGAAAATTTGGAAAACCTTTTCCATTTTGATAATAGTTTCATTTACTTTTCTGAATGAATTAATTTTAAATTACTCCATTGAGGATAATCATGATGCTTTAAAAATGTGAACAAGCAAAAAGGATTGAGAGTAGAAGGGAAAAAAAGTTCCAATAAAAGTCTATTATAATTATGAATTTCATGATGATGATGATGGTGAAAAAGTGAGAGAACTTGTTTCAACAAATTTTTAGAATTATAATGAATAGTGATTAAGGTAATTTAGACTTACCTGGTTGCCTTGAAGGTGCAACCATTTTAATTTCCATAAGATATTCAATATTATCGACAATTAGTTCCTTGGCTGAACGTTTACCGTCCTTATCGCTTCTTTCGATGGCTTTAATTTGCCAATCAGTCCAATAAACATGAGGCCCGTAAATGGTTAGGCCAAAAGGATGAGAAATATCTTTGATAATGGTTCGTCTCGATGATCCTTCAAAGTCACTTGCCTCGATTCTGTCGAGTTGAGCATCAACCCAATAGATTTGATCAACCTCATAATCAACAGTGATTCCATTAGGCCAACCAAGATCACTAGTAATTAATGATGTTCGAGCTGATCCATCAAGAAATGATCTCTCTATTTTGGGTGATTTACCCCAATCAGTCCAGAAGAGAAATCCTTTTTTAGGATAAAGGGCTAACGCTCGAGGTTCATCTAAATTTAGATCGATAATTATCCTTCTCGAACTACCATCAGCTCGACAAACTTCAATAACATTTCTTCCAGTATCGGACCAATATAAATTATTCGCAACCCAATCAAAAGCTAAACCATCAGGTCGAACCAAATCTGATGATATTACATTTGTTACTTTAGTACCATCAAAATCAGTTCGACGTATCAAATGGAGAGAGATATCGGAAAAGAAAATCATTCGATCTTGATAATCAAAATCAATCGCAACCGCATTGGTAACATCGGTTATCGGCAGGTAAACATCGGCAAATGTATTAACCTCAGTGTTTAATGCTATTCTTCTTAAACTTTTCTTACTCGCAAATAATAGAAATGCCGTTAAATTGGATGAGCATGTTTTCTTGTCAGATAAAAGTTGATAACCCGTTGGACAGGCACACGAATAGCCCCATGAATTCCGTAAGCAAAGATGTGAACATCCAGCATTATTTGCCTTACAAACATCGGTTTGCTTTTTAGCCTCTAAACTTTTCATATCAATACCCGTTAGATCAGCGATATTTGTTAGCCCGGAGAGTAATATTGTCGAAGTCCTCGGATCTTCACCGATAACCCTATGAATCGATCGAGTCTCCCAATCTGTCCAATATATTTCATCACCAATAACCGTTATCCCATAAGGTGCAGGTAAATTTGAGAGTAAAACTTTTCTATTAGCACCATTTATATCAGCCATCTCAAGTGTATGAAGCTGAGAATCAACCCAAAGTAATTTAGCTCCACCCGAAGTTGTACTTTGATAAACTGCTAGACCATTTATCCAACCTAAACCTGAGTCAAGTAAAAGTGCTCTTCTTGAACCATCCATATCAGCACGTGAAATACGTGTCACCGAACCCCAATCGGTCCAAAACATGTAACCCGAAGAGTAATGTAAAACAATTGCTCTTGGTGAATCAAGATCAGTCCATATAAGTGATTTTCTCGATGAACCATCAAGATTTGACACTTCAATCCTTTTACGACCTGCATCGGTCCAGTAAAGTTTACCACCAATCCAATCAACTGCAATACCATTAACATCACCAAGTCCAATTGAAATAACCTCTTCAACAATTGACTTTTCCCCTGATGTACCAGAAATATCATAACGAGCTCTATAGATTGTATCTGTATCTGTATCAGACCAAAAGACTGTTGCTTCGGGCGGATAAATGTCCAATACAAGGGCATTTGAAAGGTTAACACCAGTCGTTGGAACAACAACATCAGCATAATATGGTACATCAAGGGACATTCGACGAATTGAGGTTCGAGATGCTGTAATAAGAAATTTGACCATATCGGTGGCACATGATCTTTTATCCGAACCGAGAGCGAGTCCAGTTGAACAGGCACATCTAAAACCAGGCACAGTGGGCGATAGAAGGCAAAGTTGCTGACAGGGTGAACCTGAACAGGGTGATGATCGATTGGGACGATGAGAGTGGAAAACTTGTATATCCATAAGATTATCTAATCCTTTGAGCAATATTTTACTATCTTCACCTCTCATCTTATCAGTTTTCTGGATAGTCTTCAATTCCCAGTCAGTCCAATATAAGTAACGATCATGAATCGCTAATCCAAATGGATTTTTAACATGACCCGATATTAGAGTGAAACGATATTTACCATCATAATCAGATGATTCAATCGTTTTAGCACCAATATCAGACCAATAAAGTCTCCTCTCGTAAAGGTCAAGTGTCATCCCATGAGGCCAGGTAAGATTATGTGATAAGATTACTTTACGTTCACCACCATCCATACCTGATTTTTCAATCTTTGAATTGGTTCCTTCACGATGAATCCAAAACATTAATGAAACCATTGAATCAACAACAACATCACGAGGACGATCAAGTCCAGACCAGATAACAACTGATCTTATACCACCATCGTAAAGAGCAACTTCAATTGTATTTCTACCCGAATCAGACCAATAAACATTATGTCCAATCCAATCAACCGATAAACCTGAAGGTGAGTCCATTGGTTGACCTGCGATAACCGTTTGCTTAACTCCATCCCAATCGGCTCGATTAATTGTATCATTAGTTACATCTGACCAAAAGATTGATAATGATGGATAATCCCAATCAAGGGAAACAGCAGAATTTATATTGGATAATGAAAGGACAACATCAATATTATCTTCATCTGGACAATCAAGACACAACCAACGGATATCATTTCGTCGAGTGAAAAGTAAAAAAGTTTCCGGTTTACTATTGCAAGTTGATCCATCAGGAGATAAACTAAAACCCGTTGGACAGGCACAGGTAAAAGTCACGTTATTGGCTAGGCAAATATGGGAACAATGAGATGGTGATAAAGATGAGGAAGATGATGAAGATGAAGAGGATCCTTGTAAAGAGGAAAAAGATGAAGTTGATGATGATGAAGAGGCAGCTGATGGTAATGATAATGATGATGGTGATGATGGAAAACATTTATCAAATACTTTAGCTTGACGAAGTGGATGAACTATTAAAAGATCCATTGGTGAATGAAGTTGACCATGGACAGTGGTTATATCTTTTCCGGTCAATTTGTGAGCTGAATTGATTGACTTTGTCCGCCAATCAGTCCAATAAATGATATCTTCAAAAACGGTTATAGCAAAAGGATGAGGTAGAGCAGTTTCGCCTTGAATAATTGATCGTCTATCAGAACCATCAAGTTTTGAGCATTCAATTAGATGATGTTTAGCATCGGTCCAATAAAGTCTCGATGCTGGATAGTCAATTGTTAACCCGTTAGGCCAGAAAAGGCTTGTATAAACTATCGACTCTCGACCAGAACCATCAAAATGAGCTGTTTCAATACGAGGTGGTGAACCCCAATCGATCCAGTAAAGTGATGATTCCTCAAGATTAACCACAATTGCACGAGGTTTTTCAATATTACGCCAAAAAAGTACCTTTCTCATGGAACCATCGATCAAATTGGCAAACTCAATTCGACCTGTTCCCGAATCTGTCCAGTAAAGTCTATCAGATGACCAATCAACTGCCAATCCACCGGGCGAAACAAGACCCGATGAGATGATGGCTCGTTGAGAGGAACCATTAAGATGAGCAATATAAATGGTGTCCGTTGTAATATCTGACCAGACAATTAACTGTCTAGCATAATGAAAATCCAAGGCAATCACATTTTGAAGATCACTTACCATTGCAGTATAATCAGAGGCATCAAGTGTAACCCGTCTTATGTCCACTCTATTGGCGAAAATGATATATGGCTCAGGTCCATTTGCTTTACATGAAATTTTATCTTCACTCATGGTATATCCTTCAGTACAGAAACACTGAAATCCTGGAACATTATTTTCACACCTTTGGGAACATGAAAGTTGATGGGAAAAACATTCATCAATATCAAGGCAAGAATGACCATCACTGGCCAATTCATAACCTTTTTTACATCCACAATGATGACCAGAATCAGAGGCAAGACATAAATGTTGACAGGGGAAACCATCATCTCTACATGGTGTTGAACTGAGACACGTTTTGTTAACATCTTCATCTGAACCATCAGGACAATTTGGTGCACCATTGCAAACAAAATATTGGCTTTAAAAGAGTAACAAACAAACAAACAGAAAAAAGAAACGGAAAAGGAAATGATGATTAGATTATCACATTCAAGATGTGTATATGTTTGTATTAAGATAATAATAATCATCTAACACTTTAATCAAACTCTTATCATTCATCTTCATCATCTTCAATTTCTTATCATAGAAATTATCTCATTAGATTTGATTGATAACATGATGAAAGTGATTATGAAAGACCTTGAAGGAGGAAGAGGAAAACTTGAATCAACAATTTATTAATTGACCTCGAAATCGAAATTTAGATTTTGGCCTAGTTATTATTCATTCACTTTGGGAATATTTCAGAAAATGTCCATCGTAATCATGGAATCAAATTCTACCTCATCATGGTAATGGAAAAGTGTAAAATTTCAATTCTAAGGTTATGTTGAAATCGATTGGTAAAGAAGAATAAAAAAATTCTCCATTCATTGGATGAGATATTTTTTAGAACTGCAGTTCACAAAGTCTTCACAGTCACGGGGATTCAATAAGTTCTTTCGAAAATTGAATATTATAAATAACATATTCTGATTTTTACCAATCGAAAATTTCTATGAATAAAGTCATGAAAATTTGGGAATGAAAATGGAATATCAAATATTATATAAAAATATCAAGAGAAAATCAACTACCTGTGAATAATTATTATCTCATGATCTTTGATTGAGATTTTCCTTCTCGGTTCTTTGCTTGATTTTCAATTTCTTTTTAACGATTAATCGTTATGATTATTATCGAATTTCATCTTCTCTTCTTTCATTTTTTTTTCTATTAATATAATTCTTTATTACCTAATCATCTTCATCATTGTTTTATCTTAGTTCACACAATTTTCTCATATTCTTTTATTAACTATTTCGTTTCTTCTTTCATCATCTTCTCCATGTAATACCAATTTTCAGCTCTAACAAGATCAGATAATCAACCTCATTTCCGATTAACTTATTCTCAGCAATTTCCGTTCCAATGTGCTTCCATCCTTATGTAATCAATTGTCAATCCATTTTCTATCGTCAATTTTTACTTATAACAACACAACAAGCTAAACTTTTCTCGAGAAAATCACAATTATGATGCAATTTACTATTATTATTATGCTATTCGAATACTTTATAACTTTTCTTCGTTACTTGGAATTATTTCCAGCTCATTTTTCATTCTTTCATCATTCTCATGTCCATCCATCCACAGAATTTTCTTGATCCATAAACTTTCATCTCATCATCTTCTTCCAATCATCGAAACTTATTATTTACGAAAAGTAGAAAAACTTTTGTAAGAATATGAGAAAAAAAATATCGGAATCGGAATTAACTTTATCCAATCAGAACAAAGATCAATTGGTATTGACGATTTAACTGACAACCTTAATGATCAATATTCAAAATCAAATTTTTTGTTTCTAGTGATGAGAATGATGATGATGTTTCTTTTCATGGATGAGGAAAAAGTTCATTATTCAGAGTATCATGATTGAAGACAATCAAATGCTATCATTTTTTTTTCTCATTGAGTCAAAGTTATATTTGATGTAATGGTGAAAAGAAGATCTGATGACAATGTCAAAGAAAAAATAATAAACTTTGAATTCATATTACTGAAAATGTTATAAGTATCTTAGTATATTCTCATTGATTGAATAACAATCAGTATCAGAATTTAATAAATATATATTCTTGATAGTGGAAATGAAGAAAAAGAAGACAAATCCATAGTAAATGTGATTTGAATTCAATGAGTTGAATACAACATTTTCAATAACATTTTCACCATGAAAACAACAAAAGAACTGAATCTAAGAATAGAGTAAGATAAAAATGCTTCCATCTTTAATATCGTTTGTTTTCACTCCAACAAGATAGATATATTTTTTTCTCTTTCTTTTTCTCCCCCTGAATAGAATAAGATTCTCTGAATTCAATTTCTCTCTATGCTTTTCGCCTTTTGAAGTGTTGCTTTTTGGAGTGTATATTCAGTGATAGTTGAAGATTCAATTCCAAAATCAGAATGATGAAATAAAAGAGCAAGAATTCATAATTCATTCAGTAACATCTAATGATTTGATATATGATTTGGAACTCCCTGTTCCTCTCTCTCTCTCTTTCTCTCTCCCTCAATTTCTTGTATGTTCATTTTGATCATCATCTCTACTACTCTATTCAATCATCATCTTGTTTATCGTGAAAAGTTCAGAAAAAGAAGGCAAGAGAGAGAGAGAGAGAGAGGTAAGGTTGTAGATTTCGAGTTTTTTTACTGAAAACATGGTAAAGAAAATGAGAAAAAAGAAACAAAAGAAAAAAAACTAATAAAGATAAAGTGTTACGATTCTGGTGCATTTGTAAAGTTACCATGAAATGACAAGGTAATAATTCACTTTTTCCTCTCATCTGGGTGATAATTTTGCTCCATCATGTATCCAATGAATTTTTGACTTATATACTTTAGATCTGGATGAAGAAAACCCTTGCGATAATCAAGTTTTACTTATAAAATTTACTCAGATCATATTATATTTTTCATAAGTAAACTGATTCATTAATTTGGAACAGAAAAAAATATTTCTGCTTTTGAACAAAAAAAAAACTTTTTCTCAGATTAAAAGGATAACAAAAACAACAGTAACAACCAACAGGGAGGTTGTATTACAAAGGTGAAAGTGTAACATTAATCTTAGATACTATTTCACTTTAACCATTATCATGATCAAATCGTGTTAACAGATATTATCGTATACAGGATGAAAAAGAAAACTATTATCTGTCAATTGGAGAATAGTGATTGTTAACTTTAAATGCATTCCAACGCTATTTATTAACTCTAAATTAGAGTCTCTAATAAAGAAATGATCACCAAGAACAGAATTTGCTTGGAATCATTTCATCGGAGTTGGTGCTATTCAATGGCGTCATTTCTTTTCATACGATAAATACACTAAAAATTTTCATTTCAATTTGCCCGCTCGATTGAAATTATCGGTAAAGTTCATTAAAGAATTTGCTTCAGAAACATTTATTCAGCCTGAAGTCACCCTTTCACTCACTAATCACTTCTTTTTCCTGGTTTACAGAATTATTAACATAGAAATCATCATAATCACTATAGTATAAAGTTCATTGCAATTCTGTTGAAACCTCAAGTTGAACATCCAAATAATCTCATAATCTAATTGAATAATTTCTTTGCTTTCTCTCTGTCTTCAATTACAGAATTTTTTTTCGCTCTTTCTTTGTAAATCAAATGCTGAATTACTTCAATTATTACTACCATTTCAAGTTCATTTGCAAAAACAATTGAGATATTTATTCATGAGGTGTAGAGTATAATTGACTTGAAATTACTGAACAAGAGATAGAATAAACTAATGTTAACAAATTTCTCTGACTCAGTTCCCAGGAAAAAAAAGTAAAATCCTGTAGTATTTTTCTTATCCAATTCTTGTAATTTTATTGCTCATCTAAAGTTTATATTCCTACAAAACGAGCTCTTTTCCTATTCTGCTTTTCTCCGATCCCTTTTATTGCGAAAGTCAAAAGTTTCTTTCCTGTAATTAATTTATCTTCAAGTCTGAAATTCTGAAAACTCATGGTAACTCAATACCCTGGATACAATGTTTTATATTTTAATTTTCATAGAAGTGCTGAACTCAGAGTCTATTGGTTCATTTTATTTAACCATTTATTCAAGTTTGAGGCTCAAATGGAAGTTCAATGAATTAGGTGAAATTTGTTCAGACTTAGACAAATGTATTAAAAGAAAAGGAAATGGGATGAAAAGATGATGAAATTTTATGGCGCCGGTATTAAAGTAAACATTTACTTCATCCATGTTTACCTTAATTGTAAGCAAAGGTAAAATGGCCAATGGTCAAAGCATAAATAAATTCCCAACATTTCCAGGTGATTTAACTCAAATCGTAAAATGTTTACTCACCTTATACAAGTACCGTCATCGCATTTAAATTGTCCAGTTAAACATTCAGTTCGATAGCCACAACCTTTCTCATCAGAATTATCACTACAATCAGCGTCACCATCGCACCTCCAAGAAGCTCGAATACATCGACCTGAATGACATCGAAACTGATCTTCTGTACAAGATCTGGATGCTGAAAGGTGATTGATAAATAAGGAGAAAAAAAATTATCATCAAATTGTCATTTTACTATTAATAATCTCGTTAAAAGTATAATGTCATCATTTTTGTCTTCCAATCTGATCAGCATCTCCATCATCATTAGTATTATCATTATTTTGTCAACAAATTTTTTTATGAATTGATGATAAACTAAATATCAGTATCAGTTTTGTGACACAATAATATTAACCATAAAAAAACTGTACCAAAGATCATGATGAATAAATCCAAGAATCTTAATCCTATCAGAATTTACTTATTTCACCGATCAAAGTCATTTTTGTATAATATCATAACAAAAATGTTTTTCTTTCGTAGTCACAATGAGTATTAATCTGATCCTTTTGATATTACAAAGATGAATTCAAAAGAATAGAGCAAAATTCCTATTCAGAGTGAACGATAATTTCATGAGATGTGTCAATCTTTTGACCAATAAAAGTTCACAAGATAATATTAGTTACATTTCTGAGGTTTTCTTCTTGATTAAGATATTATACTCGATATTGATTTAATAATAATGGTTGAGAATCCAAGGTAAATGAATATATATTATTTGTTGATCTGTGTGATTGTATCAAGTGGAGGTTATTAAAGTTGACATGTTTACAGGGAAAGAACTGAGATAATAGAGGAAAAGAAAAGGTAGAAAAAATTGTTGACATAGAAATGAAGTGAAGATAAATATATTTATCTCACTCACCAACTCCCAGTGAGTATTTGTATTTAATGTAACCATTTAGTATGTTACATTGAGTAAATGTTATTCAGATGATTTTTCATTCATATCATCATGATATTCATGTTATTGTTAATAGTATTTACTATCATCATCATCATCATCTTCATCATCAAAACCATTATTATCTAAATATTACAATTGAATTGGTTAAACCAACGACCCAATATCTATGTATTCATATATATAAGTTGAGTACTTTTTGTAACCCTGATTGTTCAAGTGTATGCAGAGAGATATACATAAATGTTATTCAATATTTACCCTTGATTATTGAAGGTAAATTATTATTATCGTTTATAATCTTGATGATAATATGACAAGGATAACAAGCCAACGATTAACATTTCACTTGGTTAATATATAGAATCAAAAGTTTATCATTAATAGCCTCTATTAAATTGTTGAATCAGTTAATTTTTCTGCATAATAATAATAATATTGAAAATGTTGATAGTATAAAGTTAATTAAGTTTTATCGTTTGGCAGAAATGTGATAATAATATCTAATTATAAATTCTGATGGACGATAATTACTCTAATAAGTTTATCTCAATCTATTTCATATGTAAATTTGTCAAGATTATCATGTAACTTTCTTGTGATATTTTAATACACTCTGATTACCAAGAATTTATCATGAATATAATAGTTGAGATTATGAAATATTCTACATGTATTATTAGATATAAGTTTGGTTCTCTAAATGAAACTGAACTTATTCATTTAATATCCGTCGGTATTGAGATCAGATAACACTTTTGCCTTTTTCTCCATAGTCTAAAATAGCCTGGAAGCAAAAAGTTATCATGATGAACTGAAGGAAATGAAGGGGAAAAAAGCTGCTTCTACTCATAGGAATTTGAAACAATAAATGAGCTTCCATAATGTTGATACTGATGAAATAATAATACTGATAAATTGTCATTAGCAAATAAAATAATAATAATAATCTTAATTTCATCTTATTATTCATCATGATGAGTGGAGACAGGAGTAGAAAAAAATATACACTTGGGTCTTTATTTTGGTTTTCCAAGTTTCCAAGTGATAGACTGAAACTATTTCTCCTGGCATCAAAATATAATCATCACCATGATAATATCATTTTCTGGTTCAAATTTCAAGCATAATTCAGTTTCTGTTATTTATTTTTTCCCCTCTCTTTTTGTGCTTCTTGAAACATATTCATGTTATTAATGTGTAAATTTAACGATAACCATAATGAACATGAGATATTGAATTACTCATTGAGAATGGAACCTGGATTGATGATGATAATGACAGTGATAATTTGTTTAACTTTAATTTCAAACCAAAATATTGATCAGAGTAATCTAATGAACAATTTCAGGGGAGAGATTAATAATCAACTATCATCAACGGTTGTTGAGTGTTTAATATTAATAGTTGCCTGGTAATGGAAAATAATTAACCCTTATTGATGTTTCATCATTAAGTTGCATGGAGTTACTCAGTGGAAACAATGAATAAGAAGTGGAGGGAAGAAAATGAAGAAAAAAAGTTCTGATAAACTCTGAGAATTTCATTGGAAATTTTCATTTTTTTTCTTATCCATTGAATTTTATTGCTTTTCTTTTATTTCGTTCTTCATTTTTTTTATTATCTCACTCGTTGATCATTTCTCCTTTAAACTCAAAGTCTTTCTCCTATGAGTTTATTTCGGTTAAAACGAAATTAAAATATAATTTTCCCATGGTTGCATGATTTTGATTGCAAACGATAATCATGATAACACGAATAAATATAACAATGAACAGTGATAGAAAACTGTAAATGATCATGAAAATGTTACATAATAATATTGTCACTCTCACCATTCGAGTATGGAGCTGAAATCTTTTGATGGGGAAAAATTTTTGCAGGGAGTTAATTATTCCCATACAGATAATAATAAAGATTCCGCTGATTTGATTATCAAAATAGTTTTTCAAATTTTATCTCTTTTTCTGAGTCTCAATTCATCATGAGTTATGTGTTTATCAATGAATTCACTTTGATATTCTGACTGAACCAAGAATGCAAGAAACTTTTATTTTATCTTTGACATTTATCCTTCCACACTTTCTCAACCTATTCAGATAGTTAATATACAAAAACGTCTGAAGAGTTGATATAAAGGATGCTAAGTCTTAATAGAAATGTCAAAGTATTATATTAATAATAATATGTTTCCTTTCGTATCTATCATAATGTGACTCGATTCGTTGGAACGAACCTCAATTGCGAGAAAATTTTTTTACCTCTCATATATATAAATGAGTGGATGATAAATTCTTTTCTTTTTCTATCAAAATTTTTTAATAATCACTATTCACTTTTCATGGTAACAGCATGTTCATGACATGATTCAGACGTTGCTTTCTATTGGAAGAGAAAGATTGATCGGCATTCGATGGAAGCAAGAGTTTTGTCCTCATTTTTCGTAACTTTTTTTCTCTCACTTCTTATCGTAACTGTTATAGTTTTCTGAGTTTTCACCATAAAGACCATCATTCTCACCCAAACCAGCACCATAAAAACTATTGAACTTTTCTATCTGTATTTCCAATTTTCGACAATATTTTCATGTACTCATATTCTCATATTTTTACATTACCTTTTTTTCTCAGCATTTTCCTTACGTCTAATATCATCATGAGCGTCTCGAGTTTAAACAGACTTTTTGTTCCATCTATATTTATCCTTTTTTCCTGTAAACGATTTTTCCATAAATTCTAAAAGCATTCTGATAATGAACATTAATTACAGCACAATAAAAATATATAAACAATTGAATTTCATTTAGTGAAAAAAAAACTACGTTGAACTTATCTTATGCTGAATTCAGAATTATGTAAAGATGTTGAATTGGTCTTCCAAATATTTTAGTAATTAAAATCAATTTTATTATAAAATTTCACCACAATACTGCCTAAAATTCATAATTGGATATAATTTTTTACATTCCAAGATTCTCAGTCTTCAACATTGAAATAATCCTGCTGGTTCATCAATCTCACATTCAATACTTCCTTGAGTAAATTAATTAATCAACTCATACTATCCAAGAACATATTATTTATCTTACCAATTACTTTTCTGCTTCATAATTAAATACTTTTACAAGACTCATAAAGAGCATATTTTATTAATGAACAGTTCGAACTACGATAACCAGATTATCTTTTTAGACTTTTTCTCTTTATCTTTCAGTTATTATTAAAATATAAAATATTCGAGAAGAGATAGATTATGAATTTTGCTATCATTACATTAATTCTCATGATACTTCATGACTATTTACTCTACAATCTGAATGGGTAAAGTATGAGCCAAATTGATGAAAAATTCATCAATCCAAAATTTTAGATGGACGTCACTGGAGATTGAGATATGGATAAATACACTCTGTTTACTTACAAAGAATCCATTAAATACAACCAGTGAAATATCACCATGATTAATGAACAAGAAAAAAATATCAAACAATAAAAGTATCAGTTATAGCGATTAAGTTTACAAAAGGAAAGAATTAATATTTTAATCAATTTGCCGAGGAAAGATAATCTTGATGTTAATAATAATGATAACGATTTGGTAAAATTGGATGAAATTTTGAACAATTGTTAGAAATTTCTGAAAATAATAATTTTTCCGTACAAAGTATAACAAGAAGATGAAACAGTCAATTGTTTAGTTTGGTAAAGATTAATGGACTAGGAGGGAATTTAAGGAAAACATGAGATTCTGAAACCTTCTAGCTGTAGTGTAGCTCTGAAGAGAAAAATCAATCAGGCTGATACGATGAAAGAAAATTTTATGGCACTGATGATGATTATGATGCTGACTTCATGATTCCAAAATCACTCTAAGGTCAATAAACTAATGTGTCGATTTACTTTCAATACTTTGAGCAAGATGAATCTGAACAAGTTATTGGATTGATTTGGATGGTAGAAGAGGTGAAAGAACAAAAAAGTTCCAAAAAATTCAGGAGAAACAGTAAAATGGCACTAATATTAGCTTGATAGTGAATTTCAGGCTTGTTCTAGAACAAATAAAATGGTGGTTAGTCATCACTTCTATGCAAATGTTACCGATATATTGTCGTAAAATTTATCGTTAATATCTCATCAATACGATAAGTATAATAACAATGATATCACAAAGTAGGTCAGGAAAGTTATCACCCAATTGATACTTCCATTGCATGTTCTGATGATATTATT